CTCTATCTATTAAAAAAAACCGCATCAAAATCCGTTGCGTAGTTTTAAAGATTTAAGCATACACAGGCACAGACAGATATAGGGACAGAGAAAGCGACTTTGTTTTATACTATGTAGTGATGATACAGAGAAGGAGTGCAGAAAGCCAATTTCTTTTTAAATTATGCATAAAAATACATCAAATCAATAAAAAAAATTATTAAACCCACTACCATGTATTTAACACACACACGCATATTATATACTCTTTGGTTTATTAAAGGATGTGGTCAAATTGATAATAGATTAATATTGTTTCTCTTTTTGGCGGGAACGCGAGGAGTGAAGTTGTGTGATTTGTTTTATTTTGTCTATTTAGTGTTTCTTCAGGTTTAAATGTGCAATAACCGGTGGCTTATTAACTGTTAAGTATCACACACAAATGTGGGAAAATGAAACAAAGCCGCTGGACGTAGCTTCTTGGGATCCTCCAAAAAGTCCACTGAAAAAGCTTCAGTAAATGACCACCATTTTACTGAGATTATATTTCATCCTATCTCATCTCATTTCATTTCGCTTCATAATATCATTTTTCTTAATAAAAATTATAAAAGATTAGGCTGTATGGTGTGATACCTTTGCCTTTCCAGTTTAGAAAAATATAACTACTACTTATTATTATTTGCTAGTGTTGTAACCTTAGCGAAATCTGTAATCATAGACGTATAGTATTTGACAATAGAATAAAGTTCTAACTTATAATTTAAAAAAAAGTCTACATTTAATCACCTAATTAAGATTATTGGTCTATATAAATTATGCAATCCACTCCAACAATGAACCTAAAACTAAAAACCTTAAATAATAATAATAATAATAATAATAATTTAACAACTAAAATATATTATTAAAAGGAGTCCCTTTAGGCAAAGATAAATATAAAGGAAATTAATTAAATAAAGGTCGAATTTCGATTACGGGGCGACCATTATTAATGGTAAATCGTTAAAAATCATTCGAATGAATCATATGAATAGAGATTCATTAAAGGAGATTATGCGAAGCACTGCTCTTGCTAGGGTCAGTGTTAGCAACACTCCGGTTTGAGCCCCGTGAGCTCACCTACACACGTTAGGGTGAAGCTGAAATAGCCTCTCAAGGCTATTAGCATAGGTAGCAAAAAATGAAGGCGGAATTGGGCGTCATTTTCGCTTTGCATCTTGTAACTTAAGTAGCGATGTGTCTATCGTTAGGGATGTATACTTAGTCTGGCCATAAATACTGTTACAATAAAAAATAAACAAAATATTACATTTGAATTTGGAATCTGTCATTTTTATATGATTGCTCATTGAGTTTGCTCATTTTGGCGCCAATACATTGTACAATATTTTGCGATATTAAAATGTAGTGGGGTGATATAGAGAATCGAATCGCTGTGATTGCTGTAGGATTGTGATTGAAGTAGGTATGGACCCAAATGCAATTTTTAAAACTCTCCATACGCTTGGTATTAGTAAAATGTTTGTGTACCGGGCTATTAATAGGTACAATGAGACCTCCTCTGTTTGTGACAGAAAAAGATCGGGCCGTCCACGTAGTGTTCGTACGAAAAAGGTGGTCAAAGCAGTAAGGGAAAGAATTCGAAGAAATCCTGTTCGAAAGCAAAAGATTGTATCTCAGGAGATGAAGATAGCACCTAGAACCATGTCGCGTATTTTAAAAGATGACTTAGGACTTGCAGCCTATAAGAGACGTACTGATCATTTCTTAACTGATACAACATGATGATGTCTTAACTGAACAACTACTGAAGCGGTACGCAAACGGAGGTCATAGAAAAATTTTGTTTACGGATGAGATTTTTTTTACAATTGAGCAACATTTTAACAAACAAAATGACTGTATTTATGCTCAAAGCTCTAAGGAAGCTTCCCAATTAGTCGACAGAGTGCAACGTGGGCACTATCCGACTTCAGTGATGGTTTGGTGTGGTATTAGCTATGAAGGAGTGACTGAGACATACTTTTGTGAAAAAGGTATCAAAACATCGACACAAGTGTATCAAGATACCATTCTTGAGAAGGTAGTGAAGCCCCTTAACAACACCATGTTCAATGATCAAGAATGGTCCTTTCAGCAAGACTCGGCGCCAGGTCATAAAGCTCGGTCTACACAGTCTTGGTTGGAAACGAACATTTCGGACTTCATCAGAGTTGAAGACTGGCCGTCGTCTAGTCCCGATCTTAATCCGCTGGATTATGATTTATGGTCAGTTTTAGAGAGTACGGCTTGCTCTAAACGCCACTAAAACAATCCGTACGATTGGCAGTGAAAAATTTTCCCATGGAAAGAGTGCGTGCTTCTATTGATAACTGGCCTCAACGTTTAAAGGACTGTATTGCAGCCAATGGAGACCACTTCGAATAAGATTTTTATACTTTAAATTGTTTTATATTTATGTATTAAACTAACACACTGTAAAAGTAATAAATGTTATTTGCAATAGATTTTTTATTTATTTTTCATTGTAACAGTATTTATGGCCAGACTAAGTATAGATCGAGCACAACTCGGTATGCAACTCGGCTTGTTGTAAAATCGATATTACGTAGTTCGTGCATCGCGCATCGGGGCTGCGTCTGCGGGGCGACCGACTGACCCGGATTCTGGCCACGCCTCGTTCACGCGATCCACGCCGTCTTGAATCCACCTACCTACCTACCTACCTCTCTCGTAGTCGCGGCCATAAAGTCGGATGTAGGCGTCGCGAATTATCCAAACTGCCATCTTGAATTTTCGTCACATTATCATGAATATGCGATAATCGTAATGCGATTTGTATTGAATGCGATTGGGTTTGGTGTTAAGAGATTACCGGAGCTCATGGACATCAACAACGTTACGAAATTCATTCGGATGTTTGTCTGTGCGCCTGTACAACAAAATCCCACAAGATGTTCAGAATCTACATATACATAGGTTTAAGAAAGCTATTAAAGAACATCTGTGCAATAAAGCTTACTATACAAGTCAATGATTATCTAGAAGATTGCACCAAGTGGGAATGAGTTGCTCGCTCCGGGCATTTCAATATTGCGATAATTGTTACGTTATAATACTCATTGTAAAAATGAATATTTAAAAAAAGAAAAGGCATGTCCGCTGAGTTTCTTGCCAGTTCTTCTCAGGACGGAGGCTAGTTCTTGTAAATTGGCGTTAGTACTTTTTGACGTTCAACAAGTATGTACTTTCATTTATGTTGAATAAATATTTTTTTATTTGATTTGATTAATGCCAAAATTCGCCTTGAGATACCTCTCTCTCTTCGATCGGTTCCTCACTGCTTCGGATCGTGACTCCGTCCGATTTCGTCAACCAACTGTCTCCATCGATCCCGCCCTGCAGCCCGTTGGAGTGCGTCGCTGATCCCCAGTTCCTCCGCTGTTTGGTATACCTATGAGTTTTAAATCTCAGTTTGTATAGTACAACGACTGCCCCACTTTTCAAATCAGAAGGCTGTTACTGTTTTGCGGCCGAAATAGGCGGAGTGGTCGTACCTACCCGTGCGGGGTCTCAAGATTGGCATCAGCTTGTCATGTGTTCTGCTATTGGGTATAGTCCGATCTCACGTCTGTTTTCATAGCTATGGGCTCTAGTGACCACTTACGACCAGATTGGCTGTGCCTTCATTCACACGATGAATCACTAAAATCAGCAATTTTCCAACCGGAGTACTCTTTACCAACTTTTTATTTTTTATTGCTTAGGTGGATGAGCTCACGGCTCATCTGGTGTTAAGTGGTTACCGGAGCCCATAGTACACTACAATGTAAATGCCGCCACTCACTTTGAGATATGAGTTCTAAGGTCTCTGTATAGTTACAACGGCTGCTCCACCCTTCAAACTGAAGCGCATTACTTTGTCCATAGAAGAGGTATTTTGTGTACGCAACCTGACAATTCTTACAGGGAAACCGTCACGCGAATCGGAGGGCAGGGCAGCCGTTCGACCTCATGTCTCAAAGATTCAAATAATTACGTTTGTCACATCAATGCCTCCTCCTTAATAATTGGACATTAGATGGACGTAATACAAAATATTAACGAAAATAAAAAATCGACTTCAACATAAATTAAAATCGAGAATATTATCTATGTAATAGTAATTCTAGGGTAACCTCACAAGTTGTCTCCACATCAATAAGTCTTGCGCTTGATCCTAACTTCGCTCCAGATGAAACCGGCAGTAATCATAATACCAAAACAAGTGATATCATCAATGTAGTCAAAGATCAACGACTACTTACAGGTCGGATCTTGATGGAATATAAATGAGAGGATGCGTGAAGCATCAGCTTTGCAATAAATAAAACAACACGAACACGAAAAAGCTGCTCGTCTAAAAAGAGTACAGCCGAATTGAGAGCTTTCTTCTTTTTGGAATCTAAAACCATTACCACTGTCCGGTTATCGTTCTCGTCGAACCCGTCGCTTGCGATGAAGGGCTCGGCGAGTAAACTAACCCACAGACACAGCCCACTGAGTTTCTCGCCGGATGATCTAAGTGGGTCGCGTTTCAGATCCGGCGGTAGTTTCTGCCAAGCACGGCTCTTGCTAGGGTTCGTGTTAGCAACATCGTCAGGTTTGAGCCCCGTGATCTCACCTACTAGCCCGGCGACGCTGACATGGTCTCTCTAGGCCAGGGGTTCCCAAACTTATTTTTTCTACTGCCCACTTTGAGAATAAATTATTTGTTAGCGCCCCTATTTTTTCACCTACTTAAAAACCACCATAGCGAGAGCTCAGTCGATGTCCTCCTAGATGAAATTACAAATCGCCTCCTAAGCCACTACACAACGCCCCCTTTTTTTTTATTAGTGTCTTACCGTCCCCCTTTAGGTCTGCAGCGCCAACAAGGGGGCGTTATGGCCCACTTTGAGAAACGCTGCTCTAGACCATCAGCTTAGGCAGAAATTTTTTTACCAACGATACCTGCTAACGACAAAATCCTTTCGCAGATGGACATATACGTCCAAACGGCCAGCCCGATTGTCGAGCAAGTCCTCAAAGGGTACAACGGCACTATATTCGCGTACGGACAGACGGGAACAGGGAAAACCTATACGATGGCGGGCAGCAGTACGGCTCCAGAACTCAGGGGGATCATACCGAACTCGTTTGCACACATCTTCAGTCACATAGCGAAGGCCAAGGACGACGAGAAGTAAGGACTCTTCGGTATTAAATTGCTTAGACGAGTTCACACTTATGTCCAGTCCAGAGTCCATGGACATCAACACGCCGCCGTCCAACTTGAGACACGGGCTTCTAAATCGTGTAGTACAACGGAGCTGTCATAGTACGCGTCTTTCAAACCGGAATGCATTACTGCTTTAAAGTACAATTAGAGGTTTTTGGCATGTTGGCTCACTCGACGCCCTGCCACTAGTAGCTGGTGGTTTGTCAGTCTGCCTATTTCTGCCCCGATGCTCACGTTGTAATATATGTGCCCACCGGTAATTGTGTTGGAGGCTCCAAGCCCCTAGTTCTAAAAACCATGGATTTGAGGTCCTGAGGTCAGGAGGAGGACCTGCCACGTAACAAAAAGTCATTAGTATTTGAATTTATCAACCATTTCAAATGCCACCTTCTTTTGTGCATCGTCCCTGATTGTCTAGTAGATAATGCCGTATAAAGTCTGCCAGTTTCCCCTCAATGTGCATGATGCGTAATCCCTATGTTCCCTACTCCGAAACGACTGGACCGATTTCGATGTAATTTTCAGTTAATCTTTAGATCATCCTAGCGAGTGATTCTGTGAGTTTGGCAGCAATCGGAACAAAGCGTGGTCGATGATCAGCAAGCAAAAAAAGCTTCTCGAAAGCTCTTTCGAAGTCGTTTGCGTTAGTCTTCGATTCGAGTCTACTGTATTACTGCTTTATCTCCATAGATTCCTGGTGTGCGTGACTTACCTGGAGATCTACAATGAGGAAGTCCGGGACTTGCTCGGGAACAACCCCCATCAGAGCCTCGAGGTTAAGGAGCGGCCTGACATCGGTGTGTTCGTCAAGGACCTGACAGGTGAATACGCATCAAAAGTCGATAACGATACGATAATCTTATTAAATCAGCCTAATATTCTGATTACGTTCGGGGTAAAAAGATCATTGCCCTATGCTCTTATGACCCATAACCGGTCGTCGGTCACTCATACGTGTATAATCCGGGGAATCCCTCATTTCCCTTACGACACCTCCAAGAAGAGATAGGGGTGCTATACTAGGCCTATACCACATAACTGTGTCCGCACGGGTAGGTATCACCACTCCGCCTATTTCTGCCGTGAAGCTGCAATGAAAAATATCTATTTGAAGGATGGGGTAGCCGTTGTACCTATACTTGAGACCTTAGAACTTATATCTCAAGGTGGGTGGCGCATTTACGTTGTAGATGTCTATGGGCTCCAGTAACCACTTAACACGAGGTGGGCTGTGAGCTTATCCACCCATCTAAGCAATAAAAAAAACATTTTCTTTTGCCACTTTACGCCTAGAGCGACCACCGCCCTTCGTCGACTCAAGGTCAATACCCGCCTAGAATCCTCTAGGCCAGTTCGTTCTTGGAACTTTGCACGTTTTCAGGGTACGTGGTCCATAACGCTGACGAGCTAGAGAAGATAATGACGGTAGGCGATAAGAACCGGCACATCGGCGCGACCGCCATGAACACGGAGAGCTCTCGATCCCACGCCATATTCTCGATAACCGTCGAGAGCAGTAAGAAGGGCAGCGACGGTAAAACTCACGTCAAAATGGGGAAACTGCACCTGGTCGATTTGGCTGTGAGTCTTTGAAATTTTTCATCTATATTACAAAAACGAATTGCTGTTCGTTAGTCTCGCTAAAACTCGAGAACGGCTGGACCGATTTGGCTAATTTTGGTCTTGAATTATTTGTGGAAGTCCAGAGAAGATTTAAAAGGTAGACAAATGAATGAAAATGCTCGGAATGAAGTAAAAATAACAATTACATTTTTCCTTTGATGTGTCCCCCGTCGGACGGATTCCTTTTGTTTGTTTTAAGTTTCTTTTATACAAAAGTTTAGGTCTTTTATTTATCGATTGAGGCGCTACGAAGTCTGCCGGGTCAGCTAGTTTACTATAAATTCAATTATCAAGGCCCTGCTTATGCCATTCAGGAATATCTTCCGGACTCCTAAGAGGAAAACCAGTATAATAATTAAAAGTGATAAGTGCTTATAGAGAATTAGTTAAAGAGAAATACGATATTTCGTATACAGGTGGTAGGACCTTTTGTGAGTCCGCGCGGGTGGATACCACCACCCTGCCTATTTCTGCCGTGAAGCAGTAATGCGTTTCGGTTTGAAGGGTGAGGCAGCTGTTGTAACTTACTTGAGACCTTAGAACTTATATCTCAAGGTGGGTGGCGCATTTACGTTGTGGATGCATGGGCTCCAGTAACCACTTAACACCAGGTGGGCTGTGAGCTCGTCCACCCATCTAAGCAATAAAAAAAAACAACAAAAAACATGGATGACGTATTCATTCCAGTCACCTCGTAAACCAAACTATATAGTGCATCGTCTTTTCTCGAATTTTCTATGTGACCGAACTCAGTTTTGATAATCATCCAAATCGGTTTAAATACACTCGAGTTTTAGGTAAAAAGCTAAAAAATATACAATCGATCAGCGAACATCCTTCCTTCATCATACTTCATCATCATCATCAGAATCATCCTTCTTTTTTGAGATCGGTTAAAAAGCACATATATCTATGTTAATCATCACTTATCGTATTAAATCATATCCAGAGCTCACAAACTCAGACTACCACGATTCAAGTAATATAAAAAAAATATCTGAATTCGGCTATCGCGTTTCATATGATCTCCGCAAACAAATCGGACACGAAAAATCAGTTTGCCTATGTTCCGTCAGGGGTCGGAGCGTCAAAGCAAGACTCAAGCCACCGGGACACGCCTCAAGGAGGCCACGAAGATAAATCAGTCGCTCTCGGTGCTGGGAAACGTGATATCGGCCCTAGTCGACGGCAAAAGCACCCACATACCGTACAGGAACTCGAAACTGACCAGACTATTGCAGGATTCACTCGGGGGGAATTCTAAGACAGTCATGGTAAGAAATTTCTGTGATGTCCACGGGCCCATCATCATGGTGAGCTCGTCGATGTACAAAGCTTTTTTTTTTTCATACCTAACCTGATATCCTTGAATCATTACTTTTTTAGGTTTTTTAACCCTAACCTACCCGTAAATACGGAATGCATCACGGCTTGGCGGCATAAATAAACAAGATGTCTACTAGTGCCTATCTATGACCATCAAGAAATGCCATTGACGACCGCTTTTTTTTAAAGCACTGAGACGCTATTTCAGCGTAACCTTAACTAGTAGGTGAGCTCACGGGGCTCAAACCGGAGTGATGCTAACACTGACCCTAGTAAGACCAGTGCTTCGCAGAATCTACCACCGGATCGGAAACGCGACCCACTGAGAAGATCCGGCAAGAAACTCAGTGAGCTTAAAGCTGTAATGTTCGATACAGATCGCGACTATAGGCCCAGCCGATACGAACTACGTCGAGACGATCAGCACGCTTCGTTACGCGAACCGAGCCAAGAATATCGAGAACAAGACGCACGTCAACAACGAACCAGGAGACGCGCTACTTACCAGGTACGTCCTTATCGAGTATTCGATACTAGGTACGTCCCTAACGAGTAATAGATATTAAGTCCGTCCTTGAGTAGGAGACAATAGGTGAATTTCTATTGCACTTAATACTAGGTATATCCTTATTAAGTAATAGGCAGTAGACACGTTATTTTAGAGTACTATATATTGTGAACATCCCTGTCGTGTAATCTATATTAGATACGTCCTTATTAAGTCAAAGGTAGTAGATACGTTCTTAAAGAATATGAAATAAATACTATGAATGTCCTTGTCGTGTAATCTATATTAGTTACGTCCACAGGTACTCGACAGCGAGTACTAGACACTAGGCAAGTACTAATCGAGTAAAATAACAAAGTGCATGTACACACGCAGTGCAGTGACAAGTATTAGTACGTATTTTGAATTAGAGACTAGGTATTCAACCGTAAATAACATTTTATGTATCCAACGACTGAATACTTTCTTAGTTGTTATATAAATTTACACTTCACCCTTTTAAAATATTTCTCCTTGCTCACCTTTAATCAGCTAACTAGCTATATAATAAATAATATATTGTTTAGGTAGAATAATATGTAATATGTTTTGAAGTCGTCATAGTCTAAAGGATAAGACGTCCGATGCATTCGTGTTGAGCGATGCAACGGTGTTCGAATCTTAAGCGGATACCACTTTTTCTAATGAAATACGTACTCAACAAATGTTCACGATTGACTTCCACGGGGAAGGAATAACATCGTGTGATAAAAATCAAACCCGCAAAACTATAACATGCGTAATTACTGGTGGTAGAACCTCTTGTGAGTCCACGCGGGTAGGTACCACCGCCTATTTAAGCAGTAATGCATGTCGGTTCGAAGGGCGGAGAAGCAGTTGTAACTATACTGAGACCTTAGAACTTATATCTCAAGGTGGGTGGAGCATTTATGTTGTAGATGTCTATGGGCTCCGGTAACCACTTGGGGGCACCAGGTGGGCTGTGAGCTCGTCCACCCATCTAAGCAAAAATATATATATTTTTCCTTCTAAAATCTTTTTCCTCGCTCGCCCTTAACTAGTTAATTCAATACCTCCGGTGGGGGGCGGGTGAGGGGTAGTTGGGGGGCAGGGAGTCGTAAGACCCGGCGCCATTAAATATCACCACCATCATGTTCTCTCATCGCTGCATTCCTCAAATGGGGGGTGACGTCCCAATGTGACGTTTTAACGTGCGCGTGACGTAATAATAAATATATTTTTGCCCTTTTCCAGATTCCAATTGGAGATCGATCAGCTCAAGAAGCAATTGGAGGACTGTAGCAACGGTAAGGCGGTGGGCTAGACCGTTTAGTGTCTTAAGGCGATTCGGGGATTCCCCGGAGAATTGATGGCGGCGTTCTATGAATATTTTACTAGTTTTCAGCGAACTCTAACCACTTTACTGGTGGTAGGACGTCTTGTGAGTCCGCTCGGGTAGGTACCACCGCCCCGCCTATTTCTGCCGTGAAGCAGTAATGCGTTTCGGTTTGAAGGGTGGGGCAGCCGATGTAACTATACTGAGACCTTAGAACTCATGTATCAAGGTGAGTGGCGTCATTTGGGTTGTAGATGTCTATGGGCGCCACCTGTAGTGCATATATGGCAGTAGGACAAAAGACCAAGGTAGGATAAATGTCGCTTGTTAAGCGACTATATATATCAAAGGGTGAAAGGCTATTCAGTTTAAGCGATATTTAGCTTAATACGCGACGATCTTTTTTTTTATTGCTTAGAAGGGTGGACGAGCTCACAGCCCACCTGGTGTTAAGTGGTTACTGGAGCCCATAGACATCTACAACGTAAATGCGCCGCCCACCTTGAGATATAAGTTCTAAGGTCTCAAGTATAGTTACAACGGCTTCCCCGCCCTTCAAACCGAAACGCATTACTGCTTCACGGCAGAAATAGGCAGGGCGGTGGTAACTACCGTGCGGACTCACAAGAGTTTCTATCACCGGTAAAAAGAGTTCAATGTTTTTAATTTGAACTTCAATTAAGTTTACCACAAAAATTCAAATATCTAAAAAAGTTTTTCTGTCATAATATTTTTTTCAAATTAGAAAACTCTGAATGTTAAGTAAAGTTGCAAAAATGTCGCCTAAACCAAATAGCATTTCACCTCTCGATATCTTTCTGACGCAAAACAAAAGTTTAACGATAATGGAACAGACGCTACGTTATGTTACGACCTCCTATCTCAAAACGGCTGACATTCACTTTGTGATGTCCATGGACCTCATAATTATTAAAATTCGTTACGTTTTGGATGATGTTGAACAGAAATCGAAGGGGGCGCCGAAGATGATGTGTCTGAGGAGGACCTCTCGGAGGACAGCGTGTCCGATCCGGAGATGGACTCTCTCGATCCCGAGGAGAAGAAGCTGCGAAAGAAGATGCGCAGAGAGGAGAAGGTACGAGCGCGATTTTGGCATTGCCTTTAACATTGGCCGTTGGTTAATGAATGAGAAATCATTTTAGTCGTAGTAACCTTGATCTGTCAAAGTTCGATAAAAAAGTAAGGACAGCAAAAAAAAATTTTTTATTTTAAATTATTTTGCCTAACTATGAAGACTATTAATATGTTTGTTTTAATGAACCGTACACATTTACTTGAAATGTTGAGTACTGGTCGAGGTAAATTAAAGATTAATTTAGATTATATATAATAAAAAAAAACACCTATTTAAAAGTCACTGTCGGGCCCTATAATCTATGGATGGACGACGATGATGATGATTACTCAAGCAGTGGGATGAGCGGAATCGGCAAACTCTTAAGTTTTAGATTATAAATTAATATTTAAAAATTCCAATTTTTTTTACATACTGACTTTACTTATATTTTTCGATTTGACAGCTATGACGTCACAATATGGCGCAGGTCCATGCACATTCATATTGTAGGATTGTTTGGGTGATGTAAATTCGACTCTTAAGTCTTGATGATCGTAATCGAACAGTAAAAACCCGTTATTTAGTTTCGAACTACGAATAAATAACTTATTCTTTATTAAACTTATTATTTATTATTTCATAAATAACTAACTTATTATTTATTCGTAGGTTTCGACGGACAAAACAACAAATTCATTTAAGTGCGTCCGTTTTTTCACTTAGATAATTGGAAACTGTTGTATTTTGCCTGAATGTACATTAATGAATAATTTGTAATACATAATTCTATTTAAAAAAAAAAAAAAATAATCATAAAAAAAGCAATTATTCATTTTTCATTTTAATCCGCGAATGAAGGAAGCATCAATAACGAATTATTTTCTATAATCCCATATCTGAATCGCGCCAACTACATTTACCGAACGTATAATATGCATTACAAAAGTCCTATTAGTCAATAATCGACGTCGCCCAAAACACGTCATTACGGAACCTCGCGATCCATTAACGGTGCTTTTAGGTACCACAAGCACCGGTCACCGTCCTCGTCGAACCCGTCGCTTGCGACGAAGGGCTCGACGAGTAAATTAACCCACAGACACAGCCCACTGAGTTTCTCGCCGGATCTTCTCAGTGGGTCACGTTTCTGATCCGGTGGTAGATTCTGCAAGCGCTGCTCTTGCTAGGGTCAGTGTCAGCATCACTCCGGTTTGAGCCCCGTGAGCTCACCTACTAGTTAAGGTTACGCTGAAATAGCCTCTCAAGGCTATCAGCTTAGGAAGGAAAAAAAGGAAATGCTTCCAAGTTCCAAGCCAAATGCCCGTGCAGTCGGGTCATTAAAGGTCATTAAATTTCCATTTACATCGATGCCTCATCGACGAACGTTGCGGTTCCATTGCTGGCTTATTACGAGACGATAATTATTAATTATAATGGTCTCCCGTTTTGTTCGCAGGAGAAAATGATCAAGGAGAAAACTCATCAGGCCCGGAAAGTTCTGGAGGAGAAGAGAGCTGAACTGCAAAGGACTAAGTGCGTAACAAGGATAGAAGATAAATTTGGATTTCTTCTTTTTTCTCTTACCTACGCCGAAAGTTCGGTTTCCCTCCCGCTGTACAGGGAAGAAAGTCTAACTATTCCTCGCTAGGTACTGACAAGTGCGCATGCGCGTTAGTGTCCACTTGTGCTCTCACGCACCTCAAATTCTCCGCCATTGTTGTGCTCGGGTAATTTGCAATATTGTGTTCAGTGTAAAAGTGAAATAAACAAAAGGCAATAAAATTTAATAGCGAAGTATTAAACAAAGATGAGTTCATCAGACGACAGTTCTTATTCAATTAGTAGTAGTTTATTTAAAAATAAAAAAACAGTTAAATTGTTTTTTATGAGTATGGGGGACAACGCCCTCCCCCCCTACCCCCGGCCAGGGCTTCGCCCCTGGACCCCGGCTCGGTACTCCACGAACTTTCGGCCTGGTAGGAGAAAAAATAATATGTGCACCGCGGGCTGAAAAGTAGGACATCTCAACCCGCATGTTTGCCACAATAATATATATTATTAGACGGTTGAACGGTTAGACTCGTGGTCCAATTTGGTGTTAAGTTTTTACCGGAACCATTTATTTTTATTGCTTAACCCTTTGACTGCCATGAGGGTTATCGGTGTCGTATGTGGAGCACTGAGGTAATTATGTCAATTTCTGTTACCAAGTTGCCGGAATATTTAGTAGACTTTGGTAAAGATGAATTCGGATATACTGAGATTGAATGTATTTCTATAAGAGACCTAAAAGACTAAAACATACTTTAAAAACAAAAGAAGGTGAAGTTAGAGAAATCAACATAATTTACTTCAGTACGCCGCGTAGGTCACCGGTGACCTATACGGCAGTCAAAGGGTTAAATAGGTGGACGAGCTCACAGCCCACCTGGTGTTAAGCGGTTACCGGAGCCCATAGACATCTACAACATAAATGCCGCCACCCACCTTGAGATATGAGTTCTAAGGCCTCAGTATAGTTACAACGGCTGCCCCACCCTTCGAACCGAAACGCATTACTGTTTCACGGCAGAAATAGGCAGGGTGGTGGTACCTACCCGCGCGGACTCACAAGAGGTACTACCACCAGTAACCTATAGGCGTCGCTATGCGTATGCCTTAGTATGGATTAGCTTCAGACCCATGACAGTCTACAAAGAGTTTAATCTAGAACATTCCAAACTTTACAGGAGACAGCAGGAAGAGTTGAAAGATAAGCTGCAGCGTCTCGAGTCTAAGGTTCTGGTGGGCGGAGAGAACCTCCTGGACAAAGCGGACACCCAACGCAGACTCCTGGAGCAAGCCGCCCGGGAGCTCGAGCTCAGGGCCGCCAACGAGCTCAGGCTGAAGGAGGACTTGCAGAAGAAGGAGGTGAGGTGGTGGCACTTAAGTTACACAAGATGCTGTTTCTGCTTGGTAATATCATTGCTGATGTCCACGGGCGACCATGACCACTCACCGTCAGGTGTATGCTTAATATTCCAATTAATCGCAATAGTACTTCTGGCTTAGATAGCTTGCCTCATCATTCACCATTCCCCTGCCCTTCTCCGAGTCACCTGGGGTTGACGCAACATGGTATCTCCTTCCACACTCCTCTTCTGAAGTCGTCGTGGCCTAAAGGATAAGACGTCCGGTGCTTTCGTATGTAGCGATGCACCGGTGTTCGAATCCCGCAGGCGGGTCCCAAATTTTTTTAATGAAATACATACTCAACAAATGTTCAAGATTGACTTCCGCGGTGAAGGAATAACATCGTGTAATAAAAATGAAACCCGCAAAATAATTATATAATTTGCGTAATTACTGGTGGTAGGACCTCTTGTGAGTCCGCGCGGGTAGGCACCACCACCCTGCCTATTTCTGCCGTGAAGCAGTAATGCGTTTCGGTTTGAAGGGCGGGGCAGCTGTTTTAACTATACTGAGACCTTAGGAACTTATATCTCAAGGTGGATGGCGCATTTACGTTGTAGACGTCTATGAGCTCCAGTAACCACTTAACACCATGTGGGCTGTGAGTTCGTCCAATCCATCTTAGCAATAAAAAAACACATTTTCTCCTTCCATACACCTCCATCATATACGATTTCTTCGCTCACTCCCCTCTTACACATCGTTTTTCACGCAATCCATCCATTTTTTCTACGGTCTACCTCTTCCTCTAAAGCCTTCCTCGTTCATTTTTAAAACTCTCTTACCAACCTCATTATCATTTCGTCTCATCACATCGTCTCATACCATCACAAACGTTCAGATCGTTTGCATGTTAAATAAATAAAAAAACAAGTCTTCGTTTTTTTTTTACGGCTCTAACACTAGACCTTTAAGCCGTGTACGTTTTGCATTCATTTCAGGCCGAGCGATTGGATATAGAGGAACGCTATTCGAGCCTCCAAGAAGAGAACGCTGCTAAGACCAGGAAGCTCAAGAGGGCTGTCCAACTCCTCAACTCGGCTAAGGCCGAGCTCGCTGACCAGCAGCGCGAGCAGCAGAGGGAGATGGAGGGGATCCTCGACTCGATAAGGGCCCTGAAGAGGGAGATACAGCTAGCCGATCTCGTGCTGGACTCTTATATACCGAAGGAATATCAGGTTTGTTCGTTGATTTGTCTTTTTATAGCTTAGAGTGAACGAGCTCACGGCTTGGTGTTAAGTGGTTACCGGAGCCCATAGACAACTACAAGGTAAATACTGCCACCCACCTTGAGATATAAGTTCTAAGGTCTCAGTATAGTTACAACGGCTGCCCCACCCTTCGACCCGACACGCATTACTGCTTAAATAGGCAGGGCGGTGGTACCTACCCGCGCAGACTCACAAGAGCTCCTACCACCAGTAATTACGCAAATTATAATTTTGCGGGTTTGATTTTTATTAAACGACTAGCTTTTGTCCGCGACTTCGTCCGCGCGAAATAGTTCACATATAATGCTTTATTTTAGATCAAAATTTGGATGGCATAAAAAACGTTATAGTGAGCCAACCTTAACATATAGACATTTTTTTTTTGGGTCAGGAGGAAATCGCCGGACTTCCGCCCTTTTCTGGGGATACTGGGCGGCGTATGTCAGAGTCGAACTGACTAAAACCCCCTGTAGCTCAACAACCAACGTCCAACAAACCTCGCATGAGACAGAACTCATGACAAGGCAAAGGGGGGAAAGTGAAGCATTTAGTGCGGAGCACATCTCTCCCATCACCCTCCCCCTCGGGACGCCGGACTGGCGGTCGTCGGCGCCACGACCACCAGCCCTCTCGGTCGGCAGACTGTCCGAAGCCCGCCTAGATGGCGCCGGTTAGAGTGGGTTACCCTACGGAATACCCCGCTGGGCCAGAACCAGCGTGGTCGAGGATAGCCGGCCTTCCATCACCCGGATGCTCTTGCGTAAAACGTGTGCAGAGCAGCTTGCACGTCGTCTTCTTAGGCCCCCCTCGCCGGTCCCCAGACCGACATGTGAGGGGGACCCGAAACACTTAGAGGGCCAGGGCTTGGGCGAGATCCGCCTCCCTGGCCCCCGCTCGACGGCGGCGGGATTGTGCGTCTCTCACGCGCCCCGCCGCCTCCTTCTGCGAGATGGTGCACTCGCAGAAGTCGAGCATCGCCTTCCACGACTCGTCGTCGCCGAGCATCGATGCCACAACACTCGGCAACGACAAGTCGGTTCCTATTTTTGCGACGAGGACACGGCGCCACCCCTCCCATGCGGGGCAGGCGACGAGCGTATGCTCTGCCGTGTCCAAGTCGCAATCACAATGGTGGCACTCTGCCGTCGGCTCGGCTCTGATCCGGTGCAGGAACTCACCGAAGCAACCATGCCCAGTGAGCACCTGCGTGAGCCGGAAAGTGAGGCGTCCTCTGTCACGATTCACCCAATCCACAAGGACCGGGCGAATCGCCTCGACGGTCCTACGACCGGCCGAAGGATCAGCCAGCCGTCTGGACCATGACTCCAGCACGGACCGCCGAGATTGGGCCCTCCGCGCTCTGACCACACTGGGGCTGGGACGCGCCACGCCCCGGGCACGAAGTTCAGCCCGCCACCTATAGTCAGCGGCGAGCGCCTCCGCTTCCAGAACCCAAGGCGGCGTCCCAGCCAGTACACACGCCGCCTCAAAGGAGATGGTGCGATAACCACGGATGACCCTGACCGCGATGGTGCGTTGCGGCCGTTGCAGCAGCTTCGCCACCCCCACGGCCAGGGACTGGCCCCACACGGGCGCCCCGTATAGGGCCATTGATCGCACCACCCCCGTATAGAGACGGCGCGTCACCTGGTCAGGCCCCCCGACGTTGGCCAGAAGCCGGCTTAACGCGCCGGTCACCCCCAACAAACGAGGGACCAGGTTCTGAAAGTGAACATATAGACATATGCTGTTTTTTTAGATCTTTTAAAGGGGAACAATTCTGTCAAACATTATTTTAGCGAAACTTTAATAGTTTCTGTAGCGCACGCAGCGGAAGCTCTCAAAAGGGAAAAAAACTCCGATTTTGAAACATTCTTTATTGGTGCTCCGCTTGTATTGGTCTTAGCGTTATGTTATATAGCCTATAGCCTATTCCTCGATAAATGGGCTATCTAACACTGAAAGAATTTTTCAAATCGGATCAGTAGTTCCTGAGATTAGCGCGTTCAAACAAACAAACTCTTCAGCTTTATAATATTAGTATTGTAAGGTTTGTTGTAAAATAATTAAATTCAATTTAACATGTCACAGTTAAGGCAATTTTCGGATTGCCAAATAGCAATACTGTTGGTGGGAGCAATGGCAGTAGTGGGGACGTGACATAATAAAAAAGGCGGTAGTCTGAAAAAACGGGACAGAAAGCAGTGTCTGAGATTATATTTCATCCCATATCATCTCATCTCATTTCATTTCATTTCATCCCAGTTGATTAATGTCTCAAATTAATCATCTTCATTTCATTTCATTGTTTTTCATAAAAATAAGAATGTAATATAAATTAAAATAAGACATGACTTAAAGGTCTTAGTTACCAGGTCATAAAATCCCTTAAAAAAAAAGAAAGCAGTGTATTGAGTTGTGAGCAGATATCTAAAGATTGTACAAGTGGAGTTAAAAATAAAGCAAAACAGAATTAAGTGAACTACTGCAATCTGTGTATTATTTTCTGACTGTTGGAAACGGAGTGCTACAGTATAGATAATATTCCTTCACCATGGAAGCAGAGACATCTTAAGCTAGGATGGGGCCCTTGGACACACAAGAATTTGAGCCCCTTTTGGAAAGTAAAAAAAGCGAATTATAATAACATTTTTTTACTGAGTATGACCATTTATTATAGGTAATCAAATACAGTATGATATAATATGTCATTAATAATATTAGAATACTGCTGGTTTTTTGGTTACGATTTGGATAACGGTTTCTTCCGGGATTTCTGTTGAGCAAAATATTCTATTATAGGCATAGTATATGCCTTGTAAATACCTTCTGATTACTGATTTGTGAAAAAAGTGTAATGTGCTCGACAAAAATGTTTTGAGAATAAACGTGTGAGAGAAATTGTCGGTCTTTCGGGGCGCCCTGAGAATGGGGGCCCCGTGTGCCCTTATGGTAAAGACGGTATTGCATGGAAGTCAAACTAAGACTAATCGAATCGTGTCCGAATTACGGATATATACCTAGTCAGGTCATAAGTATTGTCACACAGTAAAAACTTTTCTTTTAGAATGCTGGCCACAAAAAGTTTATTGAATTCGAATTTCGAATTGTTCATGAAAATAAAAAATGTATACTTTTAGAATTATACTCATTTTTAAATATGGAGTGGACGCTTAAAGAAGACCGTGTTGCAGTTATTGCGTTGCATCGTTGCGGTTACGCGCCAATTCAAATTTTTAACATACTGAAAAATTTGAATATAACCAAAAGATTCGTTTATCGAACCATCAAACGATACAATGAAGACTCTAGTGTAGATGACAGGTCAAGAAGTGGTCGCCCTCGGTCTGTTAGGACTCCAGCAGTGATAAAAGCTGTGAAGGCGCGAATTCAAAGAAATCCCAAACGTAAGCAGAAACTGTTGGCCCTTCAGATGGGGTTAAGCAGAACCACGGTGAAAAGGGTGTTAAATGAAGACTTAGGGCTTCGGGCATATCGAAGAAAAACAGGACATCGTTTGAATGCTCGTCTAATGGACCTGAGACTGAAGAGATGCCGCGCTTTGTTGAAGCGGTACGCGGGAAAAAAATATCGGGAAATTCTTTTTTCGGATGAAAAAATTTTTACCGTAGAAGAGAGCTACAACAAACAAAATGATAAGGTGTACGCACACAGTAGTGAAGAAGCGAGCAACCGTATTCCGCGTGTCCAACGAGGTCATTTTCCATCCTCGCTCATGGTATGGTTGGGAGTTTCTTATTGGGGCTTAACAGAGGTACATTTTTGTGAGAAAGGTGTAAAAACGAATGCAGTTGTGTATCAAAATACAGTCCTGACGAACCTTGTGGAACCTGTTTCTCATACCATGTTCAATAACAGGCACTGGGTATTCCAACAAGATTCGGCGCCAGCTCATAGAGCGAAGAGCACACAAGACTGGCTGGCGGCGCGTGAAATCGACTTCATCCGGCACGAAGACTGGCCCTCCTCCAGTCCAGATTTGAATCCGTTAGATTACAAGATATGGCAACACTTGGAGGAAAAGGCGTGCTCAAAGCCTCATCCCAATTTGGAGTCACTCAAGACATCCTTGATTAAGGCAGCCGCCGATATTGACATGGACCTCGTTCGTGCTGCGATAGACGACTGGCCGCGCAGATTGAAGGCCTGTATTCAAAATCACGGAGGTCATTTTGAATAAACTTTAGTGTCATAAGAATCTATGTTTTGTTAAGTTCATTTTGGTATATGAATGGTTACATAATGAATAAACTTGTTTCAATTATTTTACATTAAACATGTGACAGAATTTATGACCTGACTATGTATAATGCACGAAACCCATTGTTCAGCAAACGATTGAATAGTGATTCTGGATCCACCGTTTGGGCGGTGAGGTTCAATCACCGGATCATCAGGTCGCGCGCTAAAACTGGCGTGGTGTGTAATAGCTAAACAGAGTAAACAATCATTTCTATCATTTTACCAACCAGGCTTACTATCCCACCATAAGAATTCTTAAGAATATTTATATAAACAGTTGTAACACAAACGTAGCTATAAATAGCATATAACTATTTATGCTCTAACTGTTTAGCGGAGCGTGAAGTCCGTGTGTAATATGACCGATTGCTATGCCAGGCGAGCAGCTAGGAATTCTGAAATTAATAATTCATTGCGTTTTCGTGTAAAAGAGATTGAAACTGAATTTAAATTGTGCAAAGGGGAAATCGTTTTAACAATCACCTGTGGTAGTGCTCTGCAGGCTCAAGAGTTAGGTGGTGGGTGGGTCATGAAAATGCTGTCATTCAATTAATGGTAAAAAGAATAAAGCCTTTGAGGAAGGACTATGCTCCAAGCCCAGTAGCATTTAGCTTGACAATTTTGCACTTTTTAAAGGCGTCACAGTTTTTACCGAACTGAATGGATCCCGTAGGATTCTCTTCCGTATCAACGCTGCCAGAAATAGATCCAAGATAAGAACAAATACACTCAAGCCCACTAGATCATTAAACCACGTGCCGTGCAACCAACCTAACTAGAACAATACGCAGATTTATGTGGACGCCTCACGCCCACGTCCCAGCAAGCCCGCTCGGGTGGATAGCGCGGTGCTGGTTGTTTCTGACGCGGAGTACTTGTTTTTGCCCCGTTCAGCTTTAAGCCGGTTTGAACAGCCATTTCACAGTTGAGTCGATTTGAACCTCAACATTAACGTACCTCTTCTTCTTAGTCGAGTTTTCGTTCTTGAAGACCGTGTATGAATTTTCATCGTACTTTGAGTAAAGTGCCTTCAGCTGTTTCGGTTCTTGGCAACTCCAAAGGTTGAGTAACCTTATTAGGTTCCACCAACAGCCAAGATATAGGCTGTGAAGTCTTTCGCCATCTAAATACTATGTCAACTACAACCAATGTGTCTAAATCAGCCTTTTCCAAAGTGGGCAATAACGCCCCCTTGAGGGCGCTGTAGGCCTAAAGAGGGCGGTAAGAGATCCAAAAAAAAGGGGGCGTTGTGTAGAGCCTTGGGAGGCGATTTGTAATTCCATCTGGGAGGACTCTTAGACATCGACTGAGCTCTCTGAAAAAATGGGGGCGCTAAAAAATAATATATTCTCAAAGTGGGTAGTAGACAAAAGTTTGGGAACCCCTGGTCTAAATCAACCTATCATACATTTTGTTAATTCGACATTACGTATTTTTATTTCTAACGCAAAAATGAAGGTGGTTTGTTAAATTAATTTTATATAATACACTTATTATGGTGCTCGATAACACCCGAAAGAGAATGCGACTTGATGTCCCAGTGTTGCACGCTACAACATCTATAAAAATTTAAAGTGAGATCATAATCAATTTACATCATAAAATAAACCCACTAAAAATGTTAATAGTAGGTCTTAGTATATCTTATGATCACCGATCTTCTGTATTGTAAGTACGGAGGAACCACACAAAACTGTGTGCTTTCATTGAACATATTATTAATTAGGAATCGCTCCACCCTTAGGAGTCTCCCAGTCGAATCCGATCAACGCTATGCGGCAAGTTAGTCACGCATGGGACTTAGATTGGCCCTTTAATATTATTAATGGAAGATCAACGTCAATGTTTTCTCTATTTCGCTAAAGGCGTGGTGCTGGTGACAGATGTTAAATTTTATCAAAATAATTTTAAGTGAACGAAAAAGTGCTGTATAGAACTGCAAGGGATTTGTTTGCGTTTGGCTTAAAATAGTGCATAAGGCAACTAAAGAATTCAGTAGAAAGTAGAGAGCTGCAAAATTTACTGGGAACTATGTTTAATAGCATATTGAGATCACCAACTAACATGTATCGGTGGTGGGCCGCATTGTAAACCCGCACTGGTAGATACCACCTTTCTGTGAAGTCATTTTTTCTGTGAAGCAATTATGTATTCAGATTAGTAGGACACGACAGCCGCTATTGTAAAAGAGCTGATATCTTAACGTTATTTTAAGGCGCGTCCCTCAGGCACGTTGTAACTTCTCATGCAGGCCGAAAGTCTGTCTATCCAAATATGGAAAAATAGTAATAGTTTCATATAAAACTTCGTGCTAATTTATCTTCATAATAATGAACGCTCGTGATCACTGTTTCGATTTTAGACAGAACCTCTCACGCCAAAAGTGAAACCCCGCCCTAAACATAACAACTAAAGTAGAGGATGTTGTTACTACATTAAGTAACGCGCGCTCCCAGCAAACATAATAATATACTTGAGTTACTGGTGGTGGTGGGGCGTGTGGGGACTGACTCTTATGGCCTTGCACGGGTGAGCACCATTTTGAGGCGATGAGCGATAAAAACGATATATTCATAACATCTTCGTCTGCAGCGAGCGAGCCGTCCGTCTGTCTGTCTAACGATCCCTGTCGCTCGTGAGAACATCACATCAGCGTTTTAAGGGTCGCGCAGCTTACACGAAACAGATTGAAATCATCATCATGTGTTAACAAAACAACAGACAACTGGTCGACAAAATCGCACTGTCTCCCCTGTGTCTTGAAGGGCAAAACCCTCAGAAACATATGTATATAACTAGTCAGGTCATAAGTATTGTCACACAGTAAAAACTTTTCTTTTAGAATGCTGGCCACAAAAAAGTTTATTGAATTCGAATTTCGAATTGTTCATGAAAATAAAAATGTATACTTTTAGAATTTTACTCATTTTTAAATATGGAGTGGACGCTTAAAGAAGACCGTGTTGCAGTTATTGCGTTGCATCGTTGCGGTTACGCGCCAATTCAAATTTTTAACATACTGAAAAATTTGAATATAACCAAAAGATTCGTTTATCGTACCATCAAACGATACAATGAAGACTCTAGTGTAGATGACAGGTCAAGAAGTGGTCGCCCTCGGTCTGTTAGGACTCCAGCAGTGATAAAAGCTGTGAAGGCGCGAATTCAAAGAAATCCCAAACGTAAGCAGAAACTGTTGGCCCTTCAGATGGGGTTAAGCAGAACCACGGTGAAAAGGGTGTTAAATGAAGACTTAGGGCTTCGGGCATATCGAAGAAAAACAGGACATCGTTTGAATGCTCGTCTAATGGACCTGAGACTGAAGAGATGCCGCGCTTTGTTGAAGCGGTACGCGGGAAAAAAATATCGGGAAATTCTTTTTTCGGATGAAAAAATTTTTACCGTAGAAGAGAGCTACAACAAACAAAATGATAAGGTGTACGCACACAGTAGTGAAGAAGCGAGCAACCGTATTCCGCGTGTCCAACGAGGTCATTTTCCATCCTCGCTCATGGTATGGTTGGGAGTTTCTTATTGGGGCTTAACAGAGGTACATTTTTGTGAGAAAGGTGTAAAAACGAATGCAGTTGTGTATCAAAATACAGTCCTGACGAACCTTGTGGAACCTGTTTCTCATACCATGTTCAATAACAGGCACTGGGTATTCCAACAAGATTCGGCGCCAGCTCATAGAGCGAAGAGCACACAAGACTGGCTGGCGGCGCGTGAAATCGACTTCATCCGGCACGAAGACTGGCCCTCCTCCAGTCCAGATTTGAATCCGTTAGATTACAAGATATGGCAACACTTGGAGGAAAAGGCGTGCTCAAAGCCTCATCCCAATTTGGAGTCACTCAAGACATCCTTGATTAAGGCAGCCGCCGATATTGACATGGACCTCGTTCGTGCTGCGATAGACGACTGGCCGCGCAGATTGAAGGCCTGTATTCAAAATCACGGAGGTAATTTTGAATAAACTTTAGTGTCATAAGAATCTATGTTTTGCTAAGTTCATTTTGGTATATGAATGGTTACATAATGAATAAACTTGTTTCAATTATTTTACATTAAACATGTGACAGAATTTATGACCTGACTAGGTATATATATATATATCAGTCTGCAATCTGATGATCGATGCTCCTCAGGCCCTGATCGACAAGTACGTGCACTGGAACGAGCAGCTCGGCGAGTGGCAGGTTCGGTGCGTGGCCTACACCGGGAACAACATGAGCTGTCCATTGCAGCCGCGACACGCCGCCACCAACAAACACGTGAGACTAACAAACTACCCTCGTTTACTTAATATGTATCGATAGGTGAAAAGCTATTTTTTTTAATGCTTAAATGGGTGGACGAGCTCACAGCCCGCCTGGTGCTAAGTGGTTACTGGAGCCCATAGACATCTACAACGTAAATGCGCCACCCACCTTGAGGTGTAAGTTCTAAGATCTCAGTATAGTTACAACTGCTGCCCCTCCCTTCAAACCGAAATGCATTACTGCTTCACGGCAGAAATAGGCAGGGTGGTGGTACCTACCCATGCGGACTCACAAGAGGTCCTACCATCAGTAATAAAACAAACTATAGTAGAATTATTTTGTCCGTGCAGTTTGGGTCATAAATAAAATCGGAGCGGTGAAGCGAGTATTTCGCTCTCTCTTCCACTCACGAGCCTTATGGACAGGCATAGTGATGCGCATTATTGTTGTCGATAAGCGTTATCGATAGTGTATTTAGTTTTGTCATTTTGTGGGTTAGTGATAAAAATATGAAAGAAAAAATCACTAATCGAACACTGACACCACATATCGCCGCAGCAAGCTAACGAGAAAGGCAGAAATTAACATTTTGTAACTTTTCGGGATTTATTCTTTTTTCAGTGAAAATTTTTAACACATTATTGATAACAACACGTGCTTGTGCTGGTGTATATTATAGCTAACAAGCAAAATATTTGAATAAATTCTGCCGTTTTGGTACAAAACAAAGGAGTAGTCATTGTGTCACTAAAGAAATTCATAGAGCGAATGCACAAAATCACATTTCTGTACGACATATTTACTATAATTTGCAGGTAGGTTTGTTTTTATCGATAATAACATACTCACCGCCCTAGCCGGGCTATGTTTTATGACCCAAACTGCACGGACAAAATAATTCTACTATACTCTCGTTGACTTAATATATCGTCTTTTTGCATTAAAAATGTAGGTACAATTTCCAAAAATATTCGAAATTGAGTTAATATGCGTAAACATTTGGTATCACCAGTATTTTTCTCATAAATACTGGTCAAGAGAGTGTAGTTTAGTTTTAGTTTTTTTTTTTTAGTTTACCGGTATTTTGACTACTATTAGCAAAATTAATACATAATTTTATCTTACTTTAAAAGACAGATAATGTAACTGGTAAAAAATAAAAAGAAATGTTGCAAAGATGATTAAGTATTCAAAATATTACATTAAACCTTTAAAACATCTCCTGTAAAATTTGTAAGTTTTGAGATTATACAGTTTTAACGCGAGATGACGATATAATAATATGTGAAAAGCAATAATTTTTTTATTGCTTATTTGGGTGGACGAGCTCACTTATATCTCAAGATGGGTGGCGCATTTACGCTGTAGATGTCTATGGTCTCCAGTAACCACTTAACACCAGGTGAGCTGTGAGCTCGTCCACCTATATAAACAACAACAACAAAAAATGTGATATGCTCGGAGCAGTCGGCTTATAGTGATGCGGTCCTTGGTCCCCGGACAGATGGAGCAACCAGACCTATCAGACAGGTACCTGTCGTACGCAACGGTGAACAACCGCGGCACCTCACGGCTCGCGCGACCTCATTCATCCGCCGTGCCTCGACCTCACACCGCTTTGAGACAGCGACAGTAGACGACCACAGTGCGGACACCGGACGCCAACCTCATCCGCCTATACGGTTTCACAACACCCTGTATCTCTATATGAATTTGTCGAAAATTGTACCAGTAATTTTGGATGTAAGTTTTCGTCACTGTCACTCTAGTTTAAATACGCAACAAAAGAGCGAGTAAGCTATAGTTTTGAGAGCCTCACGCTGTACGTAACGATTTAGAAATATTGTTTATATTTATTGTTTTTTTTTTATTTTAAAATTTTGGATTGGGAATATAATCTTTCAAACTGGATAGATTCTCCTTTTCTCGGTAGGCGTAATATCAGCAGCTATGATGTTATTAATTTTATTAAAAAAAAAAAATTGTATCGATACAATAACTTGCCAACCCTAAAGTGGCGGTAAAAGAATTTATTTCGAATTCCTTCGAATCCGCGTACACTTTGCGCCATTATAAAATATTATAAGTTATTATAACAATAATTTTGTTATGGCATATAAAAAGAAAAGTTTTTATTTTATTTTTTATTTCATTTATTGATCTCACTTTGATTTGTTTGTTTTTTTTTGTCATTTGATACCAAACTTTATGAGGAAATTCTCTCATAGTATTAATTTAAAACACTTAAACTAGTCACATTCCAGGCGACATGATTTATAAATGTTTGTATTAATAACAGTATTATTGTTCTAGTTAATTTTATTCTTAATGTTTACATTGTACCTAGACTTTATTGGAATATTAATTTTTTTTTATCAAATTTTGATGTATCCATCTCGGGTGTGGCAACAAGGCTTTTGGCCAAAAAGAGCATTGCCAACAAAATTGTGTAAAATTTATCAATACTGCAAAACTAAAATGTAACCGGTGTTTAAAATGATAATAATAATTAAAAAAGTTTTTGAATAAATTCGAAGTGTCATTTTTTATTTTTTTTTGCCCTTGTAGACTGATGCTCTTACGCCTCATCTGATGATGCGCGAGCCAAGACGCTGCTTACCGAATTTCTGATTTAGGGGCTTTTTGGCGGGAAGGCGCGGAGTGAAGTCGCGTGAATTATTTAATTTTGTTGATTTAGTGTTTCACCGAGCTTAAAGCTGTGATGATGGTGGCTTATTAACAATTTTAGCGTATATCAGAGTGCACGAGGTGGGGGGAAATTAAAGTAGCCGGAGGTATCCCCTTGGGTTCCTCCAAAAAATCCACTGAAGTCTCAGTGAATTCCTACAATTCTACGGGAAGAATACTTGATTTCATTCTATTTCATTGGATTACATATAGATTAACTTCATTACAATTTGCTTCATTTTTCAACAAAGAATGTCTGTGCATGTATTGTATATCATTTTATAGTTTTTTAACAGGCCTAAAGAAGTTTCACTTCAAAAATATCCTTTTTTATATTTCTATTGCCTACATGTAAATCACGGCACTCTGTGTTTTAATATACAATATATTTTTAAATGCGTAATAAAATCTTATTTCGGCACAAGTTTCTAATTTCTGTGTGTGTGTGTGTGTGTGTGTGTGTGTGTGTGTGTGTGTGTGTGTGTGTGTGTGTGTGTGTGTGTGTGTGTTTATTATATTCGCAATAAATGCTTTTAGATGATTTTGTGTTTTCATTTATTAACGGATAAAGAAGTTCGGATGTTTTGTACCAATAATGGAGAAAGACATTGAATTTTTTTTTTGTTTTTCCTACCTAAGCTGATAGCCTTGAGAAGCTATTTCAGCGTAACCTTAACTAGTAGGTGAGCTCACGGGGCTCAAACCGGCGTGATGCTAACACTGACCCTAGCAAGAGCAGTGCTTAGCAGAATCTATCACCGGATCGGAAACGCGACCCACTGAGAAGATCCGGCGAGAAACTCAGTGGGCTGTGTCTGAGGGTTAATTTACTCGTCGAGCCCTTCGTCGCAAGCGACGGGTACAACGAGAACGATGACCAGTGCTTGAGGTACCTAAAGGCACCGTTAGTGGATCGGGAGGATCCGAAATTACATGTTTGGGGCGACGTCGACTGCTTTCCATTCTTTCCGCAGGATCGGGAATGTAGGTAGTTACCGGCGGCCACGATGAGAGGGTTCTCGTGTCGTGCCGCTTTATCGAAGTGGCATTTGAAGAGAATTGATCTATATGTATAAGTCGTCGCGGCCTAAAACATAAGACAGCCGGTGAATTCATATCGATCGAGCAATCTAGAGTGCGCTGGTGTTCGAATCCCGCAGTCGGACACCAATGGACCATTGATTAAGTAGTTGTTATTTAAATATATAATTTGCAAAAATATAGCCCTATTTAAAGAACTGGTTTTTTTATTTCACTATAGTCCTTTTAAGGTGACAACATCATTATTACAGTAAATAATACGAAGCCATTGCCTGAACATGTGACTTATTATTCCTTTCAACCTGCTGTCAATGTCACCCCTACAGTAGTAGTTCTATTTTTCCAAATGGAAAGGCAAAGGTATCATACCATACACCCTGATTTAAAAAAAATGAAAAATCATAATATGAAGTGAATTTAAAGTTTTGTCTGTCTGTCTGTTTATCTCTTTGTCTGTCAGTTTGTCTGTCTGTTTGTTCAGGCTAATCTCTAGAACGGCTGGACCAATTTTGGTAGGTAGCTGACGATATAAGGAGTAACTTGGCTACTTTTTTTAGACTAGCTTCGACCCGCGGCGGGCGTCACCCACACTACGATATAGCCGCGGGTAACATCGCGGGACGGATTTCAATAATAAAATTTAATGTTTCTTAAGCGAAGCCAGGGAGGGTCGCTAGTTTAATATAAAATACATTTATTCGCTTATAGGAATAAATCCCAAATCCATATGTGAATCAGTTTCTGAATCGCTAGAACAATAATTATATTATAAACTTTTGTTTGCAAGTACTGTTTCGAACTGCTCTGGGGTAGACCGGTGATGTATAAAATAAAAGAGTGGACTGTAGTATTTGGTAAGTTTATAAAAAAGGTAAAACAAGATAAACAAGTAAGTGTCGCGGGCGGCGTTGCTGCACGAAGTGACGAACGATACTTCAACCCGCGCCGCTGTCCTCCTCCCGGCGCCCGCGCCGCGCGATCGTCGATGTCCGTGCATNTCTGGGGTAGACCGGTGATGTATAAAATAAAAGAGTGGACTGTAGTATTTGGTAAGTTTATAAAAAAGGTAAAACAAGATAAACAAGTAAGTGTCGCGGGCGGCGTTGCTGCACGAAGTGACGAACGATACTTCAACCCGCGCCGCTGTCCTCCTCCCGGCGCCCGCGCCGCGCGATCGTCGATGTCCGTGCATCGACAAGTACATAGTTATCAAATCGGACGTCTCGCTCTCAATCTTCTTCCATTTGTTTCTCCATGCTGTAACAGGTTGCAATACATTTAAGCCAAAAAAAGGTTGAAGCTAAACTCATGTAAAACTGTAAGTAGCGTGATAAGAGGACATACTGCGTACAAGAAAAATTTTCACAAGTAAAATATTTATTTGTCAGTAAAATATTTGAATAAAATAATTCGAACACATAATTGAAGACGTGTTTAGCTTGCGCACTAGTTTTTCTTATGGTTTGATTACTGTTTCCGTAATTCAAATGTCAAATGTGTCAAATGGCCAAAACTTTGGGAAACTCTTTTGGCCATGGGTACCCCCAAACACTTGGTCCATCTGCTGAGGCTCCTCCTCTATCTCTCCTTCCTCTATGAGGAAGGAACAGCTTCAGTTAGAATAGATGACATTCTATCGCGTCACTTCCACCCTAGCGCAGGAGTTCGCCAAGGGTGTATTATATCACCGCTCCTGTTCAATATATATACGGAGCTTATAATGAGAATCGCCCTCGAAAACTGGTCGGATGGAATAACTATCGGAGGTCGGAAGATTTCAAATCTTCGTTATGCAGACGACATCACTTTAGTCGCGTCAGGTGTTAGCCAGATGGAAGAGCTACTCGGTAGAGTGGAACGCGTCAGTCTTGATTTCGGACTTAAAATTAACCGCAACAAAACAAGTGTCATGATTGTCGACCGTGCTAATAATAACTCGCCAGANGAACTTGTCTTAGATTTCACCCATCTAAATCATATCATATTTGCACATAACAATATACCTACTTACTTCCCATTAAAGTATAAATTCTACAAATAAATAATACTCAACAATATTTAAAATAAAATGAGCCAAGAACGTTTATCGATAAAACCTGATAACATTGAAATCTTTTGTACAGCACTAAAGCCGCCATATTTTGTGGCCAGATGACGTCACACTGGCACGAAATTTTCGTTGACGTTTCATTTCCATAGGTTTCCTACTTCATTGCGTCACAGTGGCACGAAATTTTGGTTGACGTTTCATTTCCATAGGTTTCCTACTTCATTGCTGTTTTCATAACCCGAAAAAATGTTAGAACTCTTACAAATTTTACCAACCTTTAAAAGTTGAAGGCTGTATCTATTTTCCCCCAAGAGATGGCGCTTCTGCTAAGTTTTCTCAATCAAACTAAACTACCCTACGCTAGATGTCGCCGACTGACCAAATCTGTTTTACTAAATCTGTTTTTTAAGTCGTCGTGGCCTAAAGGATAAGACGTCCGGTGCATTCGTATCGAGTGATGCACTGGTGTTCGAATCTCGCTGGCGGGTACCAATTTTTCTAATGAAATACGTACTCAACAAATGTTCACGATTGACTTCCACGGTGAAGGAATAACATCGTGCAATAAAAATCAAACCCGCAAAATTATAATTTGCGTAATTACTGGTGGTAGGACCTCTTGTGAGTCCGCACGGGTAGGTACCACCGCCCCGCCTATTTCTGCCGTGAAGCAGTAATGCGTTTCGGTTTGAAGGGTGGGGCAGCCGTTGTGACTATACTGAGACCTTAGAACTATATCTCAAGGTGTGTGGCGCATTTACGTTATAGATGTTTATGGGCTCCAGTAACCACTTAACACCAGGTGGGCTGTGAGCTCGTCCACACATCTAAGCAATAAAAAAAAAAAAAAAAGGTTTTTAATTGAACTTCAATTAGATTAACTCCTTTTTTTATTTATTGCTTTGATGGATGGACGAGCTCACAGCCTATCTGGTGTTATGTGATTACTAGAGCCCATACACAAACCCGCAAAATTATAATTTGCGTAATTACTGGTGGTAGGACCTCTTGTGAGTCCGCACGGGTAGGTACCACCGCCCCGCCTATTTCTGCCGTGAAGCAGTAATGCGTTTCGGTTTGAAGGGTGGGGCAGCCGTTGTGACTATACTGAGACCTTAGAACTATATCTCAAGGTGTGTGGCGCATTTACGTTATAGATGTTTATGGGCTCCAGTAACCACTTAACACCAGGTGGGCTGTGAGCTCGTCCACACATCTCAGCAATAAAAAAAAAAAAAAAAAAAACAGTGGAACAAAAAATATTTAAAATTAATTTGATTTTGTGGTTGTCCGTATGTAAATAATCATTCAAATTATAAATTAATACTATTTATATTTAGAATACGAGGTGCTAATAATTCTTAAATATAATTTGAACCGTGTATACTGTATCTTGTAACGAATGGCATTCCCACATAGATTCGAGTTTTAGAAAGTTTGACAAATAGTTTTTTTTAGTAAAAAATTTAAAGTGCAATAATTTAAAGAAATAATATATAATATGACTTTATTAAATGCAATATTGAAAAAAGTGAGTTCAAGTGAGTCCTTGAACAGAAAGTATCCATCACCGCCGCCTGAAATTG